CGAGGTTCAGTTTGACAGACATATTATTTTTGTTCAGTATATATCCTCAAAGAGCGAATTTTCTGAAAATCCACCAAAAAGAGGGAGTTTTATAGACAAAAATTCCCATTTTTGAACTATTAGAACACCAGACTAGAAATTTGGCAAACATGTTTCTCTTAATGAGTGGATTTGATGAGAATCTACATATGTTACGGAAATCTATTCCCAAGGGTACAGATGGTGGTTCCCTTTCTTGAGCTGTTAGAGTAACAGACTTGAAGTAATACATCTGAAAATATTTTTTCCCGCTAAGTCTTTTACGGAAATCGACTCCCAAGGAGAGGGTTGCGGGGGCGTTATAGATAAAAATTCCCGTTTTTGAATTAATAGACCCAGATACTTGAAATATGGCACGTATGTTTTTGTTGTCGAGTAGAGATCGGCTAAGAACGGGTTTTGTAGAAATTAACTCCGAAGGAGGTTACGGGGGAGGGGTTACAGGCAGAAAAAAAAAAACGTTCAGGTTTTTGAACTACAGTAGAACGTCGTTTATACGAATCATTTGGGACCCCACACCTTTCGGATACGCCATTGTTCGGATAACCGAAAACCGAATGCGATCCACGCAGTGTATAAAACCGGACACTATACGAATATTGAAAATTTTCTCATGCGGGAAACGTGTTTGAAGAAAAAGCAAAATAGGTGCAAAATGTCGCAATTTTACCTTTATTGTGGAAAATAATCACTTATTTTTCGCTGTACCATTTTACACCTTCGTTTTTTCATTGCAAGATCTCTAATGCTCTTGAGCAGCAGTAGTTGAGTAGGACAGAACTCTGATTGCTGTTTGTACCACTCCATAACTGTCTCTAACGCAGAAAACGCGTTAGCATTTGATTAACTCTTGCTATTTTTGATTGTTGTTTTTTTTATGTCAGAAATTGTCGACTTTCCGACATTATAAAACTGTGCTTGAGACGCTCCACTTCCTCCCTTCGCAAGACGGTTCAATATTTCAAGTTTTGTCTATGTTCAAGACGTTGCGCTTCCATTTTGAATTCGAAGCCATAGAAGTTCACAACTCAACAAAAGAGCGCATATACACCCCCTCACTTAGAAACAAACTGACCTAATATTCCGCGTAGATGTTTACCAAATCACACAAGTGAAATTCCCCAAATATCCCAGACCTTAACGTCACTTTTGGCCTCATGAGAAACAATTGTTAAGCGTTGCACTGTTCAAAAACGTATTCATATACAGTACATGTAGCTGACAAAAAAAAAAAAAAAAAAAAAAAAACTGGTCCGGATATTTGACGCTCCGGATAATAAACGTTCGGATAAACGAAGCTCTACTGCATAAGACTTACAGATTTGAAATTTGGCAAACATGTCTCTTTAGATGAGTAGAGATCCTATAACAACTGGGTTTACTGAAAATCTACTTCGAGTGTGTGGGTTAAGCAGGCGTAACAGATAAATATACTTCCTTTATAGAAATTCACATCCTATCCTTTTCAAATTAAGTTAAGAATGTTTTTTAATACAATCGAGTGAGTAAATATTAATGTCGCACTATTTAGCTACACGTGGGCTTTTGGCGACGGACCACGTAATTTTGAACCATGGTCAAGTGACGTGGACGACACCTGAGCTGGCACCCCCCTCTCCTAACTACCACACCACACCAACGGGAGGACGTTTCAGCTCTCGACAGATTTAACGTGCATCGCTGCCCAACACGGCGGGTCTTTAGTGGTATTGGGCTCGAACTCGTAACAAGGTAAGCCATGGTCCGATACCTATACCACTCGGCTACCGCGGCCACACCCTCGTGTTGCTGAACAGTGCGACTTTAATATTCAATCAATCAAACAAATTATGACATGCTTGCCACGATCCGATATCTTGACCACTGGGCTACCGCAGCCTCGAAAATCCCAGCGAGGAGGGTGCGTTACGACTTCTTAATGTATAACTGCTTAAATAACTCCTTATTTCCCCAATTTTTTTTCTAGAGTTTTAGGAATTAAAAAAGTGTTTACAAATATTTTTTTTATTATGATATAGATGTCGCTGTCGAGCTATTTTGAAGACAATCAATTATATAAAAATACTATTTTAAAATTCAAACACTTTTGTCTGGTGTTCTTGCTCACGTTTTTTTAAACAGCTGGAACTTTGTAATTTCTTTTTTTTTTTTTTGAGATATAATGCCTCAAGATTCGAAATTCAATTCAGAGAATTTCCTAAGCCATTTCCGAAATCGTGATTTACCAACTGAATCGCAACTACAGTTGTCACGAACTGTCGTTTTTGACCTTACAGCAAGAAAACGTGAACGAAATGTCGGATTGAAATACCACGGGAACAGGTATTATTGTCAGAAAAGGGCATTTCGTTAAATTTATTCGTATTCAGTTTCACTTAAAATACTTTGTTCGTATTTTTTAATCCATTAACTCTGTGTGTGTTGTGCTGGTCATAAAATTTTATTTCAACACACAAAAAACTTCTACGACAGAACTATTTTACCTGCTTTGATATCGAATGTTATCTATGTCTTCCTCCTACGAAAATATTTTTAGTAAAAATGGTTTCTTGCTTCCAAATCTCTATCCTTCAATAATATCACTTGAGGGTGAAGTATCCACTTCAAATTTTTTATTTAACAAAGAAACATGGTGCTTAAAAGAGACACACAAATAATATAAAAATGAACAAAAACTTCAAATACATAAAAAGTACTTGAAGAGAAAAAAAATGCCTCTTACTTTCGATTAAGAACAGGTTTTTTTTTATATATCGGTTACCTGTGTTCTGGAGTAGAGAGTATATTTTTTAACGGATATTTCTCTTTTAAATATATGGGCACCCAAATCCTTTTTTTAACAAGTTAGACACGTTTCTCGAAAAATCGTTTAAAAAACCTTTGAAAAAAAAAATGATTTATATTGTGAAATGAGATCTGTGTTCCGAGTTATTCAAGAACCATGTAGGGTGAAATCAAATTTAATTCGAAAAACCACTTAAAAGTGATGGAAATTCCACTGCGTAAGTTTTTAGATGTCTCTTTTTTTCAATTCCTACTCTATTAAGTTTACTCTCTCCT